AAGGACATCGTTTTGCTCCAACCGTCCTCTGCCTTCATGGAACGTGTCTTTTCCATCCTGCGTGCTTGTATGGATGCTAGGCAGGAGAAGAGCTTTAGTGACCGCGTGGCAGCGTCCGCTCTTCTTAAGTACAACAGAGGCCGGGGAAAATAGGAATAGGGCGTGCTAAGAGCTGGGTGTAACCTGTAACCACGGTGTCTGGTTAGGTCGTTAGGTCTGGTGTCTGGCGCTGTCTGTTCGTGTGGTGTCGCTGTACGCTTGTTTTTCTGTTTGTTTTTCTGCGATATCACGTATCACGGATCACGGATCACGGTGAAGAAATCAGAATAACACAGAGCACAGAATCGACAACCAGCAAGACCACGTGTTTCAATGTGTCGGGAAAGACAGGGGCACGTGCGTACCTCGCGCAGTGACCCTCAACGTCATGTAAAAGCAACACCGTCGGCAGAAAGCGCGTGCATAAGTACACACATAAAACTGGAAAACAAGCATAACTGCGTGCATAATTCGCTGCTGTAAGCACATGCTCAGCCAGAAAAATCCGCATAAAAAAAAAACAAAATCCGCATATCAGGTATAAGCCTATGCACGGACCGTAGAACTACCCTGTTTTTCTTCGAACGGTGTGTGTCGAAGAGTGTCGTCCAGACCGTTTGCAGCTTGACGCGAGGCGTGCGTAGTGGTGGAGTTGGGTCGGCACTGGTGCGTCAGGTACAAAGGTGCAGATGCGCGGGCCTCCAGGCCGTCGGTGTAGGCAGCAATGCCCATCTCATCCTTGTGCGCGGAGGCAGACGATATCAGAAAGGTGGACGGGCACTATGTACACGGCCCTAGGTTTGCTAGAGGGAGCTGTACTGTCTCAGTAACCTGGTTTTGCCATCAAAGGAGGAGGGGACAGGTGGTGGCGAGCTGATTGGGCTGGTTGACCCTTCGGCGCAAGAATCTTCAGACCAAGAACCCTNTGCAGATGCGCGGGCCTCCAGGCCGTCGGTGTAGGCAGCAATGCCCATCTCATCCTTGTGCGCGGAGGCAGACGATATCAGAAAGGTGGACGGGCACTATGTACACGGCCCTAGGTTTGCTAGAGGGAGCTGTACTGTCTCAGTAACCTGGTTTTGCCATCAAAGGAGGAGGGGACAGGT